CGTCATACATTATTTGCATAATGTATAGTTTAACAATTATATTTAAATAAATTGCGTAAAACAGTTAAATTTAAGTACTGTTAAAATCTCATATTTTGTACAAAAATATGATATGAAATGGACAATAAAATAATGCTTGCTTTAAGAAATATAGGTACAATTTAAAAAAAAATCTGAAAGAAAATAAAGAATAAAAAGATAATATCATATTGCCTTGGAATTTTATATTAAAAGACCGACATAAAAAAATTCTACTTTATATTAAAATATATGTGAATATATACTAGTTAAAGAATAAAGATTAGTTGATATGATAAGACGCGTTCTGAACAGAAAAAAGATTGAAAATCAGAATGAAGATGTGTTGAAGGTGTGTGAACCTAGTTTAAAAAATGGGAGGAAGTCATAACTCTGATACACGATGGATTCTCCTAGTCGATATCAGTCGTATTTGTATCCGGTACACAGAAAAATAAAAGAATGTTGATCACGTGGCCAAGAATTTATCTGGTCAATGCCATTGTGCCATCGCATTCACCGGATTCACGACACTTCCGGTCAGTATTCCGTTTATCGTTTAATTAGGGACCAAACACTTAGGTATGCCAGGTTATTCCCTTTGTATTATAAGGGAACAACTGCGTATAGTTTCTCTTTTTCCTTTTTGTGAGCCGTGCGATTTGTTCAACGATCGCGATGACTGTCAGGATTCTTGAAAAATATTGTTTCCTTGAGACTTTCCCATTCTCTTTAGTAAAAAAATAAATTTCTTTATCAACATTAATTGAAGATCCTTTCTTTAAAAATTACAAATCAATAAATAATGGAAATTAAATGCTATATTATATTATTACATAGACTATCGCTAATAACAATACACACTTTTAACATACTTTTCAAAAAAATTTTTTAATTTTTATTTTTATTTTGCATAAAAATTGGAAATATTTTCAATGAATATTTAATGAATTTAATTTAATGCATGAATCATCGAACAAACAGCTACATCACTTCCATTTATATGAAACACGATATTCTACTTGCATCGATAAGAATGACGAATGCTCTATCTCTACGGGAAATCTCCCGAAGATAATTGGCAGACGAAAACATTTAATCGAGATGCTTTAATTGCTGGGTTCTCCCCAGATTAACCGTCTTATTCATTTTCGCTTTTTTTTTACCATCGTGAACCTTTTCTTCATTTCTGTACTTGGTAGCGGTCTTTGGTCTTAATTACTTTTGCAGTCGCTTAATTGCGATTAAAGAACGTGCCCGACAGCATTCTTAAAAACGAGATAATTGAAACATTCTCTTTCATTACGCATAATTGTAGCCATCTTTAATTAATTTGCAGTTTCAGCGAAGAATAGCCCTTATTACCACAGATTCCTTTTTGTAATTTTTTCATCTCGGTGAACATTCACATTATTAATTCATTTTATATCTAATAAATTTTAACTCGTTATTATTTTTTTAGTCATTTAAAATAATGATTATTATTTTAGATGATTAAATTATTTTTATATTATAAATTACATTTGCTTATTCAAATAATATACATATCAAATAATATACATATCAAATTTATATTTATTATTTTATTATTTTATACAAAAACTGTGTGCATAATAAATAATAAATTTATAAATTTCTGTTTTATGATACTGTAATCAATGCAAATTAAGCTTTTAACATTAACATTAAAGAGCTAATTCAGTTTTGTCACTTGACCTTTGCAGGTAAAGTTAAACAAACATGCTGAGAATTTAACCGTATCGATTGATCCGTTAATTCTTAGAAGCGTTGATTGTCTCGAACATCATGTAGAAGCTGCAGGGTAAAGTCAGTCTTAATAAATTACGTATCGCTCGCCCTCTTATGATGTTAAAAGTCAACTTCGATTGTTTCCGATATCTATTCAAAGCGCATTTGCAATCATTGTCAGCAAATAAGACGTAACCTTTATTAAATATGTATATACAGCTGCTTTTCTATTTAATAAAAATTAATGCCGATTTGATATAAAAATTGTCCTGCATTTTTCTTGACAAATTAATATTAACACGTAATATAAACAGTAGAAAATAAACAATAAAATAAACAATAAAATAAAATATAATATAAGCGAAGCTGAATTACTTTATAAGTTGCAATATATGTTTTAAAGAGAGAGAAAGAAAGAGAGAGAGAGAGAGAGAGAGAGGAGTATATAATCAAATTAATCTTTTTATATCTTTCAGATATTTCCAATTTCTTTTTTTAAGGAAGAAATGATTTATTTGACAGCAAGTCGCTAAATTTTTCTATTAATATTCATCATTACTGTAATTATATTAAACAAGACACAAACAAATAACCATAAAAGTTTAGTTTTTTTTAGTTTTTTAAATAAAAAGATAGTCTACTTTGCGGATCAACCATGTATGCCACTCCGTTTCTTATGGCGTGCATGAAAGTATTCTCATGTATTAATTGATATGTTCGCATGGGTCACGCTTATATACGATTCTCGTGATATTACACATGCGTGACAGAAATGATTTTCTTATTAATTCTTCACGTGTAATTTAATTTTAAAAACGTGTATTATATCAAATAAAACTGTTTAAATGACTCTGAGTATGAATAACTTTTAAATGTACATACGACAATGGCAAATGTGTTAAATAAATCATTCTCTACTGCCTCCATGTTCATTTAATTTAAATAGATATAAGTTATTACATACTAATAACTGTTAAAACTGTGACATTTCTAATGAGAAATGTAAAATCGACAGGTAGATTATTCATTAACACATTAGATTATTCATTTTTTCGTAATCTCCATACATTATCGACCGATCTTTAGCTGTTATTTTTTAATAATTAATATCAACAGATAACATTTGATGTCTATAGAAAACGATTGACGACGTTCAATGTTTGAATTATTAATCTTAATACTATACATGACCTGCTTTTATCCAAGAATCGATAAAGATCAGCAACCGTTACTTTCACCCAAATTTCAGAGTGACGTCTGTCTACAACGATACTCTGAATGTTTAATTATACTTATTCAACATCATCTGTCGATTAGCAAGATGTCATATGGACAGCACCATCCGCTCAAAGCAAGGCGCCACTTGTAATTTTGTTATTTAGGGCAATGTATGTTAATTTATCACTTTGATAAATACATACTGATTAAGCAAGGATATTACGGTTTGTATAATTATATCAGAGTCTTCCAACATTTCATAACTTTGCTGATTAATTAAATTAAAAGTTTACGAATCAATATTATTACAAATTTTCACACATTTTGTCAGTTTTCCGATATCTGTAATTAATATGATTTTCATTTTGTCTTGTCTTACTTTGTTGCAATTAAGTTTCGATATAACTCAAGTGTTCTATATTTAATTGATTGAAGCTATATTTCAATAAATATCGTTCAATGGAAGAGTGTAATTTTTGACTTTAGATTATCAATATATGTAATTTTTTTCTGAAGCTCACAATCAAACATCAAAACTGAATAATTTTTCTGAAAACTCGAAATATAGCTTACTTATCTTTTGGTCAGAGCAGGAGGAGAGAGAGAGAGAGAGAGAGAGAGAGAGAGAGAGAGAGAGAGAGAGAAGAATATACGTATCTTTTTTCTATTTTATTTCTAATGACTTTTCAAAACAAGCTTTACGTGCTAAAACGGCTTATCCATATTTGGTGTATTGTTTTTATTGTTTTCTATTCGCTATCAACTCGAACTATAAGACGAGAACGAATAGTACCGATCGGTTGAAAATTTAAAAAAGTTAAGTGTCGTCATGACTTGTAATCCGTAGAGATAAAAAATAATTTCAACGATCCCATTATTCTTTTTTTAAAGTTGAGCTTTCTCGCATTTGCTAAAATAAACAAAATATCCCGTTGGACGTAATTATTATCGGAAAAAAATTTTTATTTAAATGCATTTCTTATTTCGTGATTAGTCACTAGTCACATATGCCGAAATAATTACGCGTATTCAATTCGAAAGTCACGGTGTTTGTGCACAGACATAATACGTATACACTCCATTACGTCTTCCCGGAAACTTTAACGCGGACAGTATTATGCGCTTAGAGAAACTCGAGTGGCAAAGCGGAATGGCGATCAATTACCGCGAATTTTCCTTAATTAATTGCACGCCAAGCCGGACCATCGCGTGCTCGCGTGCTCGCTTGCGATAAATACCGGGCGCTCCGCGAAAGGCCAGAGTCGATTCGTCACCGTCGCCCAATCGAGAATCACGCAGGTGGTCTTACGCTCGATCGCATCGAGTCTAAGAGCGGAAAAACCACGTTTCTCCCAGTACGGCGGAAAAGGCTAATGCGCTCAAGAAATAAATCCCGTATTCACATAAACAGTTATACGGTCCGACATCGGTCATGCGGGAAAAAGCAGTTGCGATAAAGAAAAGTTAATACAAAGTACGGCAATAGAGTAACAACGTTTGTGATTTTTGTTCTCGGAGAGTAGTTAACGATGATCATATCCTTAGGGGATCATCGAGCAAAGAGTCAGAAAGCTGCAGTCATTATATATAAATAGTATAAGAAAGACGAGTGAGCGAGAAGATTTTATAGTTTTAGAATACAAAAAGCTATATTAAAGCTAAACGATTACATCAAATCATTTCCCTATAATTTGATTTTATAATATAAAATTGCATTAGTAAAACAATTATGACATAAAATTATAAATATACAAACAGATAAATATAGATTATAATTACACATTGAAAAAAATACATATTTTATGAATAATTTTTTCAAACTGTTTTCTCAGAAAAGTTTAATTAATTTTTTAATGATATAAAATTATTTTACTGCGATAAAAAAATGTGACATTTTAAGACTATAATTGATATAAGTATTTTATATAGAGTAAATTAATCCGCGTAAATATTTTATTTTTACAAAAATATAATTTTCGCTTAAAAAAAAAAAAAGAAACTTTAAATCTCACATATTTCTAAATATTTACAAGTTCTATCATCCATCCAAAAAATGCAATAGAATGGCTGTTCTTCCACATAATTTAGTCTAGTCTCTACTGATAATACAGCGACAATGACAAATCTGCTGCCTATCTTATTACCAGTGGTACCAGGGAGAAGAATGGCAACATGCAGAGGATACCGAACCGGTAAGCAAAGAATAATTTATTCTCGCGAAACGCAGTTCACGGGGTTAATCGAATACTCGTGTCGTGGACGATTTAGCATCCCGGTGCTAACCGCCAGACGTTTAGTTCCTCGAGAATCGTCCTTCTCTCCGCGCAATATGTACGCGAACGCAGGTATATACGGCCAAGCCAACGTGGTGAGTAAACCACGCGATCGCATCCGCCTACGAGATAAGGCGGATTGTTTGTCAAAGCCTTGCCGATTCGTCTTGCCGTGCCAACTTCAACAGACGTATATTGTCGCCTCGCCCACGTGCATATGAACGAGATTTTCTCTCTCTACACCGTGTGTCATCGCTTGCCTCCTCAAGGATGCATTTATTTATTCAGTACCGCTGTAGTCCAGCTGTAGTTGAAATGCGAAGAAAGTGTACCCTGCATAATAACAAGCGCGTAATAATATTGTGTATAAAAATTATAATATCCTTCATATTTTTTAAATGTTGAAGCTCGAAATTTTTCTGAAAATAGTACAGATTTCAAAGTAAATCTTAATACGCCATTTATCATAAAAAAAAAATTAATATTCTTTTGTCCTTCCTTCTATCTTCATTATATTTCCTCGTTTAGCCTTAAAAGATATACTTGTTAATAAAAATTAACACGAAAAAGAATTGTCTTTGTATATGTGTGCATACATATATATTATGGTAAACCATTTACTGCTTATGATTAAACTAGGGCGTATCCGATTTATTAAATTCTTACTATAGAAAAAAATATTCACATATTTGTGTAAAAAGAATGCAAACATAAATCTCTCAAGTAAGATACTATGAAGTTTATTTACGTAATATACGTTATACGAAGAGTATTATATCCGCATATTGCAGATTTACTCTGCTCACGAATGCGTTCAAAACATCATGACTCTACTGAAAGCTTATTTGCATCTATGTTAATTTCCATTCGCAAAATATAGATAGTTATTAATCTGGCAATTAATATTTCATTTTTTAAAATAAATTTAATATTTGTGTCCAATACTATTAAAAATATTTTAAATTATGCATATAGATTTGTATAGATTTATAAAATTATGTGGATGTACATTGTATTGTAAGTGTTCATTGTAGATGCCGTTCGCGAAATAAAATATCTAATTTTACGTAGGATGGAGATATTTACAAAGTATAGAGATAAAGAGAAAAATATAAATATTCATAAATATATTTATACATCATTACATTTATATCTATGAACAATTCATTTGTAAATAAAAAAAGGGAGAAATGTAAAATAATTTATAAGTATATATATCGTAGAGATGGCAATCTCCATTTCAATGATAGCAATTGCACGAAGATTACAGATAGCATTTCTTAAGTTTAATATTAAATACTTAAAGCTAATTGAATTGATTATTCATTTTCAATTAAATTGTTGTTTAGACATTTATGATCTTCATGATCTAACAGCCCTTTCTAGGAATTAATTTTGATAGCATAATCGTTCATTTCTTCAAGATAGAACGCATGCAGCATCCCTTCATTAACTTTTTGTTTAGAATACGAGAACTGAATAGTGAACGAATGGAATAAATTTCGTTGCGGAAGGGTAGTGAAGACGTACGGTGTCACTTTCCTTGTTGTTTTGAGTTACAGGAAATTATGCACAAAGCACAGATGGGAGCCGTCAGCCGAGCTGTCAGCCACTAATGGCCGCATCATACATTCTACGTAATATACTGCCGCGCCGTAATTATTATTAATAGTGGCAAACAGAAGCGGAGATCGCTTTAAAATGCGTAAGCCTAGAACTAATTTTGTGTCACGCATGCTGTTGCTGCAACTGCATAATTGTACAAAGCAAAAAATTGGTATTTATGAGCAAGCGGCAGAAACGATGTAGCTAATTAGATTTCTTCATAGAACTGCTGCAAATTAGAACGTATGTAACTTAATTTTTTCCTGTTTTCAGTGAAAGTAAGTATCAAATTAATAATGTCAAATGTAAGAGTTATAAAAGTTGAAATTTAATTCTCTTCAAGCTGAAAATCGCATGCAAAAAGAACATATATGTCGTTTTTTTTTTCATGTGCTTCTCAACAGAAATAAATTTAGAAGAAAAACATATCATGAATCACAAAAAAAACATATTATACATGACAATTAGATTTGAAAAATTATTAACATTAAAAATAATGTTGATACAAAAAATATATATATGCATAATCACTTTTGGAGAAAAAAACATTTTTAAATTATCTTTTAATATTTTCACACATTTATGTATAATATCGTTTTAAATTTTATCACTAATATTCCAAATTCTTTCTATCTTAATCAACATACAAAAGTTTGTAAATTATGTCTCATTCTATACCTATAATTTTGTAATTGAGCTTGAACATGGAAAAAGTTAGAATATTTTTAAAACTAATTTCGAAATTCAAATTCCATAGATATGTAAAACTTATTCTATTTATTGTGCATTGCACGTTGTGCTTTTCCCTCTGAAAGTCTACATCAGGTTGCGAGAAGAATTCAAGATTTACAACACGACATAATACACTCGTAACGAGGAGGCAATCATAAATCATTCAGAATAACGCGAAATTTATTAGTCGGACTAGAAGAGAGTGGCGTTATCATTGCCAAATGTACATGTGGCCGCTTATCATCGGAATATTTATTTATCTGTGAAATAGCAAAAATCCGATTTCATACTAAGAGTAGAAATATAAGTTTTCTTGTAAAACACGTTGAAGTAAAAATTATGACAAAACTTTCCCAAGCTGTTAATTTATTTAAAATTTATAGCGTTCTCGACACCATAAACATGTACTTTTCTAAATTTCTTCTATATTTGTGTAACACACTTACATAAATGAATAAAAAGATAGATTCTCTCACTTCTGGCTGAAGAAATATACCTATCTGGCCAGTCGTACGCAAAGGATGAAAATGTGGAAATCATTTACAGAATAAAATGATTTTATATAACGCCTTACATAAAAGTTGTTTGGTAAGTAACAAGTATAAGAATTAGAAATACTTTAATAAATTATAGGTTACAGCAGTAGTAAAAATATATTATGATACATAATTCGTATGATGCGCAAAATTATATCCCACTTAAATAATTGCGAAAGAACTTTTTAACCTTTTCGGACCGATTATGATGTATATAAAATCGTGTAAAACCACGCGCTTCTACGATGTCGGTCCTTAAAGGGATAAGATAATAAGGTGATTAATAGGGAGGAGGGGAGGAGGGGGGGATGAGGGGAGGAGGGGAGAGGAGGGGAGGGGGAGAAGGAAGAAGAAAAAGAAGATGAGCCGTTACGGATACGCGTGCGAATAAGCTGAACGATATATTGCAAAAGCACAATTACATATTTATCTCCCTCGCTCGAATATCATCAGACTCGATCCAAAAGTATGATCATCGCGCCTCGGGGCCGATCTTATCTCGCGCCGCCGTGGCATCGGCTGCCTACGCACGAACGTCTCCGCGTGACGGACGTCTGAATGTGCAGTGCGCGCAGCTGCGCTTCACACGCGGGACACCCACCGGCAATTATGCACGCATTGTAACATACGAGGGCGAAAAAGAAATCGCTCGTACGAATGTGTGTGTGTGTGTGAGAGAGAGAGAGAGAGAGAGAGAGAGAGAGAGAGAGAGAGAGAGAGAGAGAGAG